ACTTGTCACATTGCCCGCCTGACACCTAGACCACCCTCCTCAACTTTCTGGACCGTAGTCCACAGACTCTTTTGTACAAGTGTGGTTACATACCTTTAGAGCTATAACTTAAGAGGCAAATGACGGGAAGTAGGGAAAGTTTTCAGTAAAAACATTTCCAATAATGTGGGCCTGGAAAAATCTGAAGGTGAATTTCCATGGTAACAATGTTTTCATAATGATGACTGGGTTCACTAAGGAAAAGTCCAATCATATATATTTTTAATTCTTTGTTTAAAGTAGCTGTGAACTATATAATCATATTCAGTGTCTTAGAGAAGGCAACTGTTGGTTATCTGGAAAACCTGTATAGATCTATAGGATATTATCCTACAGTTTTCTCCACTATTGAGAACAGATGCAGTGAGTCCCTGGCCTTGATATATTTTATGTACATATTACTGCTTAGACACTTAATATCCATTACTCCATTTTGAAGGGTTGGTCTCAACATTACTTTCTGGGTGGTTCCAGTGGTTCTCAAGCTATTAGAGATTTGTCTAAGAAAAATAAGAAAGACCTGAAAAATAGGTGTTCCAGTCAAACTCTCAGAGTTCTGTAATGGAGCCTTCAATATTTAATGAAAATTACCTCCCCCCATTTAACATTTCACTCCCTCACCTCTTAAATTAGTATACTTTACAACTTTTCTACTAAAAATTGGGGGGGGCACCGAGGTGGCTCAGGGATAAAAGTGCTCACCACCAAGTCTGACAGCCCAAGTTCAATCACTGGGACCCACGTGGTGGAAGAAGAGATGTAATGATTTCTTTAGTCAAAATTTTGTAAGAAAACGAAAGTCTGTTTCTTAAACACTGTGTGACTAATTCATAAGATATATGAAACTTTGTAAACTTCATATTTGTAAGGTTGTTTTCATTGTTTTAATTGGATATCTCAAAAGCTGTTAGAAAAAAAACATGCAGCAAGATGGCCTATCCATTGTGTTTTTCAGGGAAGAAAACGTTTCTACCGTATTATTCACATTTTGTAAACAGCATCAATGAACCTGCACATAAAAGGTTAAATGTTTGCAGACCACTCTGTTTTTGCCCCAAAGATCAGAGACAAATTACTATTTTTATTTTACATTCCCTTGATGAGGATAATGATAAACAGCTGTCACTTTGGTGCTTTGACTGCAAAGAATCCAATTGCAATCCTATAATTTAAACAAAGAAAAAAACTACGAACTCATACACAGCACACAACCAGAAAGAGGCAAGAGGATTTGAGCTGAGGTTGGGGGCAGAGGAAAGGAGTGTCCTGTCTGCTTGCTGAGAGCGTTTGGTTAAAGAATCCCACCTACAGACTCCTTCCCACTCACCTGAGACACACTAGAGAGGCCAGTTCCTGCTTCGGTGTAATGTCGAAGTCAGTTTGCATTCTGGATTCCTTATTTCCCTAATGTGTCCACTGTATTCCCTGAGTAGTTATGATTTGTGTGAGGCCACAGTCTACTAGATTTCTAAGGGGATTTCAAATTGTCTCATTGGCTGATTTGGAATTCTTTTAACTTATGTTCAAAAATTGACTTTTCAATTCATGTATGATTTGTCATTCAAATCAAAGGATTCCACGGTGTTCTTGTTCATCACGTACTTTGGTCATGTTGACTCCCTGACTACTTTCCTGTCCCCCAGTCTTCTCTTCCTCTTACTCAATTGTCCCTCCTCTATTTTCATGTGTGTGTGTGTTTATGTGTAAAACCTAAAAGAATGAAAGAATGTGATACTGGTCTGTTTGAGTCTGGTTTATTCACTTAATAGGGTGCACCAATTCCATCCATTTTCCTGCAAAAGGCATAATTTGATTCTTCTTTATGGTAAAATAAAAGATACATGTATGTATGTATATTACATTTTCTTCATGCATTCACTTGTTGAGAGGCACCAAGGCAGATCCCATAGCTTGGCTGCACTGAGGAGTTCTGTGAAAACATGGTTGAGTAGGTATCTCTGTGTTACACTGACTTACATCTTTTTGGGTCTGCCCCCAGGAGTAGCATAGCTGGATGATATGGTCGTTTGGGTTTTTGTTTGTTTTGGAGGAAACTCCATCCTGATTTCCATAGTCGCAGAGCATATTTTTGTTCCCAGCAGCAATGTGCAAGTGTCCTCTGCCCCACCCTCACCCGCACTTATTGTGGTTTTTGGTTTTTGTTTTAGGAAGAGCCATTCTGACGAGGTAATCTGTTATCTCCGTGTGGGTTTCCCTTTCTTGGATGCTAAGGAACTTTTCCATGTGTGTTGGTTACTTGTACTGCATTGTTTTAGAAGAATCTTGTTCATTTGTCCATTAGTTGACTGGAGGATTTGGGGCATTTTAGCATTTGAGCTTCTTAGTTCATTATAGATTCTAGATATTGATCCCTTGTCAGATGTATAGCTGGTAGAGATTTCCTTCTATTTTGTAGGCTGTGGCTTTACTTTTTTTTTTCTGTGCAGAAGCTTGTCACGCAATCCTACTTACCAATTCTTTGTTTTATTCCATGCACTATCAGGGTCCTTTTCACAAAGTCCTAGCCTGTCCTGGGGTGTTTCCTCTACTACCCCTGTATGTGTTGTTCATTCTGATACTTTGATTATTGCTTCTGATTTCAAGAAGTACAAAAGCAAATGTAAAGCAAGGCTAAATGGTAATTAACTAGTGTGGAATAGGGAGGTTCCAAGTTTCTATATGAAATCAAATAACAGTTTTTTACCTGGAGGTTCCAAGTGTGTTAGGGATTCAGCTTTCCTCTTTTAGTTCAGTCATTTGGTTCTTGAGAAAACAGTATTTTAATGACATTTTCCTAGCAAGTTTTTAAATTCTTTATTATTTCATGTATAAAACTGAATTGATGTAACAGTTATTTTATACTTCCTGTTTTTGAAATCATGCTCATTTTACATTAGTTGAATGGACTTCAGAGCTCTATCGTGCTCCTCTATGGGGTACGATAACCCTGGTACCCACCTCCCAGCCCTAAGGTGCAGCTCTACTCTACAAAGTGCTTATTATGGTCTATAAAACACAACAAATGCTGAAATAGGCTCTGGGAGAGAGAACAGGTTGATACTGAAACACTATCACACCCATGGCTATAAATACAATAGCAAACCCATGAATCTTGTAGGCCAGAGCAACAAACTGGATTGTGCTATCACTGTGGAGGCTTATGTTGCTTTACATAGAAAACACTTTTTCTCCATAAAAGTCTATGTTTTGTGCATTAGGGCGGTTTCATTGACTTAGGTAAACCCATTTGTAGCATGAACCACCTCTCCTTTCCTCTGATAACACTGAGGTCTATGCTAAGAATGAAGGAATATGATCCTGGACTCTAGTGCGGGGGGGGGGGGGGGGGGGGGGGGGGGGGGCACGGAGTTAAGATGAATGGTAGATAATGTAAGTAAGTGCAGGAATGAGTTCAGAGGAAGAAACAGTGGAAGATCTTAGAATAGCAGGGGCTTGTCAGAGAATGGTGAAGCAGATTGGAAATACGAAGGGAATTTACACAAGCTAGGAAGGGGGGGGCTTCTGCAGCTAACAGAGGGATGTGTGTAGCTGTAGCAGTTATGCATTTTAAATAAGGTTTTAACTAAAAATGTCTTAGTCTCTTTTCATCTAAAACATCAGTTTGTCACAAGCTCATTAAAAAAAAAGGAAGAAAGAACTATTACACCAGATTTAATTCTTTCAGTGACCTGAGACCACTTCAAAAAAAAAAAAAAAAAAAAAAAAACCAGCAGAATCACTAACATTCTGAATATTCCAGTCACCCTAGAAATCCTTTTATTCTGCTAGCCCACATCAAAGTATGGGGTCACACTCTCAAGGCAGAAAAGGACCACTGATTTTTAGAGTGAGCATACAATATCTTAACATTTTCAAAGAGACACTTCTGATATAGAAATGCTTATACTTTTTTTTATTATTGATGGTTTTGTAACCTAAAAACGTGGCTTTCATACACGTTTATCGATTCAAAGAAAAGACTCGTCATTTATAGATCCAGTTATTTAGCACAGTGCTTTGGCCTGGAGCTGATTGAAAACCTGGCAGATCAAAGTACGTATATTTCCAAAGAAAAGTACTCCAAGCCAATGTTAGGAGCAATAAATTATCGCGCCCTCCCCCACATTCATAATTAAATCTTTCCAAATATGAGAAAGTAGCCAGACCACTAACAATATCTGTATGCTGTTTTGAGGTTTAGATGGTTCAACCTGACTTGAAATAGAGACCATTTGTTCTAAATTGATTTCAATGCCAAGCCAATAGGTCAACTCTTAATGATGAAGATGCCATTCCAGCCCAGTCTCTGGGTGGATAAGCCAAAATTAATTAACTCAAGTCAGAGAGTATAGAAAACAGATGCTCCACTCATGTTGCACAAATAAATTCTTTGTGTATGAAAGGGTTCTGCTTTATTCAAAGAATAACACATTGGAAGTTAAAATGGCCGGTTTTCCACAATGGAGCCAGTCCTCTGCAGTGGTGACAGACGCATGAATTTACACAGCAAATTCCATCAAGTGCATGAAAGAATGAATTATCTTCCAGATCTCGGATTTGGACTCCTGGCCAGTCCTAGGGGATTGAGGTTTGAATCTGGGCTGATCCAATCCAGAGCAAACCCAGCAGTGCCAGAACTACATCAAGGTTATTCTAATCTATAGGATCCCTGGAGACTACTCCCAGAGGCTGGCGTCTGCATCATCTGTTTGGACTCAGGCCTCTGGGCAGCTTACCAATGGCTTAAGAATAGGTTGTTCTCCTGAGGTATGTTGTTAGGTGTGCTGTTTATTTGGTTATTCATCTCAATGTTCATTCAGAATGTTTGCTTTTGCTAAACCACGGTGAGTTCAAAGTAGGATGACAACCAGATCTAAGCAGAAATCAATCACTTGATGTTTGGTATTGTTTTTATTCTGAGAGAATATGACATAATCCACATTTTGTTTCCCTTTTGTTAGAATGAAAATGATGAAAATGGCCAAGCAGAAAACTTTTCCATGGACCCACAGTTGGAGAGGCAAGTGGAGACCATACGCAACCTAGTAGACTCTTACATGTCAATAATCAACAAATGCATCCGAGACCTAATTCCAAAAACAATAATGCATCTGATGATCAATAATGTAAGTGACTATAAACTCCCTCTTTTTAACCTCTGACCCTTCCTCACCTGGAAACTGATCACCTTTTCTTGAGTGTCTCTGAGACATTTTATGAATAACCTAATTATTTACTGCCCGGGTGTGTGGTTCTGCCTTCATAAGTGGGTAACCAATGAGAGAGAACATAGAGGGAATTTCCAGCCACAGCATCAAGTTCCTTCTGGTTGGCTCTCTTCTAGAAAGGAGCAAAGAATACCATATTCATGGACTTGCAAAGTTAGCAATGAAAATCAGATGCCTACACTCGACCTTGGGATTAAAAGCCAAGGATAATACTTTTTCCTACACACAGAGTTTATGACAATATGATCATTTGTATCATCTACAAACTATGAAATGTTCTTTTCACCTAGGAAAGGACTTCTTACCTTATTCCCTGACTGTACAGTCAGTCATATTGTTTTTGTTGTTTTTTTTTTCATATGTTTGTTTGAGAGAGAGTTTCACTCTGCAGCCCAGGCTGACCTGGATCTCAGGGGACCCTTCCTATTTTAGCCTCCCCAATGCTGGGATTCCAGGTGTGAGCCGCTGTGCCCAGTTCAGCTTGGCTGCCTAAGATAAGGGTGCTATAACCACCCATCTTTCAGAGTTCCACTAGTGTGGCCATGAGTGGATTGCTCTCATCTGGGTCTTTCCTTCTTTGGTTGGCAGCAGTCTGGCTGTGTTCTTTGGGTAGTTCAATTTTTAAAGTACAAATAAAAAAAAAAAACAGTTAATCGAGAAAAATGGCCTTTTCTGAATCTTGTTAATGGATACCAAGCACTTTATGTACCTTCTCGGGACATCTTTTGTTTTAAACTGTGAAAGTGAAAAGAGCCCTACACTAGACTTCAGGAGAAATCTGGGTTCTAAGCCTGGTTCTTGGGCTCTTGACCTAATGGGACCAATTGGGTTTGTGTCTTCCTTGAGGATTTGTTCCAGAAGGATAGGTATGCCAAGGTACTGTGACAAATGTAAGTAATTAATATGGCTGCCTATTTAAGGACTATTAATCATTCTCTGTGTTTCACAATGTATTTCTAAAGGGCTTCATGACAATCTGCTTGTCTATAACCTCTAATTGTATATGCCTTGCTTTAAGAAGTCCTGAGCACTCAGGTGACCAATCTTATATTTGACTATTTTTGTGTATCCAAGTAAGATAAACAGGATGCCTTGAAGTCTACACAGCAGGTAAGCAACGAACTGTAAGAACAGAAACTATAAATATCACCATGGCTGCTCAGGGGTCAGTTGTCTGACCTAAAGCCCAGCTTTTTAGACCCGCTAAGCTGAAGTCAGTCACTTCTGGAACTTCAGTGGAAATGTGAAGGGACCTCACAGAACTATCAGACAATGTGACAGATGTGGCTGCTAGCTATTTAGACAAATCTGAAGTACTGAACAAATAGTCTGTGTGTCTTGAAAATTACCCTCTTAACTTTGCGTAAATGAATTCAGGTTGTGTTGCTGTGGTGTATCAGGCACTTGCTTATTTAAACATTGTCCTGATTAGGACTCATTTATCTTTCCACTGGTTTCCCGAGAGTCATTAGTCCTGTCTTCGGTTCCAGCTCCGCTTTGCTCTGCATTATATTAAATCATCAGCGCAGGAAATCATACTTCCTGTCTGTGGCTCTGAGAAGTAGCTTGACACAAATTAGTTAAAAAGAAGAAAAAAATCCTACTGCAAATCTCTTCTACTTTCACCTCAAACATTAAATGAAAACACACACATACACATGGATAATTGTAGTTTCCCCAGCCCTTCATTCCTGAATTTGGGCATTTCATTAAAGCAAGCAAACACTCACCTACAGAATATTATTCTTGGAGGGCAAGCTCTGCCAGTTATCTTGAGAGAGACCTCACGTAAGAGTCATGGGAAAGGAGACTTCAATTAAGACCTGAACTCCAAGGTCAGAGACTAATAGGAACACGGAGAAAACCAACTATCAGGACATGCTGCCTTCTCAGAGAAATTTAGTTTTTTCCATCTACCAGAATGAGTGGTAGGCACATACAATGATGACTTTTCTTGAGTATTATTATTGTGCCTCTATTTTTCCTATGTCTAAAAAACATTTTGTATCTATAACATATATTTCTAACTTATATATATTTTTTCAAATAGAGAATGAAATCTTCTTAAAACAATGTGCTTACACTCTCATGGCATCTCAATGCCCAAGCCTTTCTGTTCATTCCAGATGTATCCTGTTAAGTACAAAGAAACAGACCTAATAAATCAACAGCCCTATACCATGAAGGCAAGCTGGGGTTTTTAATTCAGTTTGAACTGATAAAACAAGAGAATTAGTAATAGAACCACATCTAGCAAAAGTAGTCTAAATTCTACCTATTCTGTAAACTGGTATTCCATCAGAACAAATAAATGCTGAAGATGCGCTCTCTGTCTTCCTGGCCCAGTGGCCTTTCACCCTCAAAGCAGGAATGGCTGCCTGGCCTCCCGAAAAGGAATATGTTTCAGCCAGCTTTCATAAAGTTCAGGATTCAGTGGGCAGTTTCCTTTGAAAGTTTACATTAAGTGTTCTGCCACTCAGCTCTCCATATGGAATTGTTTAAGAAGTTTAAAGCCAGGCCATAAATGCCTGGCCTCAGACATACTGTAAGCCTTTGTCTATTGAAAGCCAGCAGCTGTTTCGTTACTTAAACATACCAGGTAACAGCGGCACAAAAGAACAGCGCCTTTATGACAGGCGGCCCCAAGTTAAAGTCGGAGCAGCAAAGTTGTGTGGGACTTTAAGACCAGCACACACAATAGCCCATGATGATGGCGTCTCCCCCAGATCTCGCTCCATCACAGAATAAGGGAAGCCAGCTTTATTATAAAACATGTATGGCGGGTCGTTTTTTGTTTGAAAATGTATTCTCTTCCACATTTTCTACGTGGAGAACTGAGGCACAGGAAAGCTAAGTGACTTGCCGCGGCTTGCACAGCTGGGGGTCTCAGGGGCTTTTTCTCAGTCTGATGCTGTCTCTGCTCCAGCAGCAGACAAGGTGCCTGGGGTTGGGAGCTCTAGCTCTAAGTCAGCCCTACCCAGAGAGCTTCTCCCCGCACCCAGTATGGCCACAGGGTTATCTGCCAGGACACGTCCTGTGACTCAAAGATTTAATTAGCATTCATTTGAACATGAGAAACAATGTCTTAAAACATTGTGTCTCACATTCAAACAAACTCACAGAATACAAAGTGGCATTTAAAAGTTCTTATGAATTCTGGAAAAAAAAACAAAACCAAACAAACAAAAAATCCACTGAGGTCATGAAACCCAGAAGCTCTTCACACTTGGAATGGTGCTGTTGAGTCCCCAAGGCCCCCACAGGTCCACCATGACCTTCGGTGGAAAAGCAGTACCATGTGCCCTAGTTTCAAAACATGTCCTTAATGCCAAACCATTATTCCAGCATTTAGACCATGATCCATTTGTAGAGGCCAAACACAGCATCTGCCCCACTCCCAAAATGTTCACAAGAGGCTCCCCCTACCTTCAGCCCCACCAAGGAACACTCCCACTCTTTCTTAAATTTCGCCTGTCTCTGAACTGTGGACCTCACAGCATGTGAGTTTTTCTGACCTCCTTTGTCCGGCATTGAGTCCATGGAGGTTGTATTTTGCAGAAGGAAACCAGCAGAACTAAATCCATGGGGGTTTGGGAAGGAGGCAGGAGGACAATGACCTGAGTGTCACATCCCCAGATGAACAAAATGAAACTACTCAGTGAAAAAGTTTACACATGCGAAGCCACATCACCCTGTTTCACTAAGAGACTACCCTGTGGAGACAGATTTCAGGGGAACGATCTCCCAGGCAACCGAACTGTCTCTTGGTGAGGGTGTTAAAATGGCTCAGTCATAACAAAGAAAGTTTAAGAGCCAAACATCTTCCAGGGGACTAGGGAAGGGTTAAAAGTTAGAAGGGGGAAAACCATGTGGAACATTTTTAATGACCTCACATTCCTTTACACTGAGCGGTGGGACATGGTGTGGTAATGCCTGTTTATTTAGCCTGCAGAGTTTGCACTGGAGTGGGATTTTGTGTGTGAGAATTTTTGTGAGCCACACAAAGATGTATAGGTTATAAGGTGTTATAATTAAAAGCATAAATATTGCCCCAAATATCCTGTCCAAGTATAATTGGTCTGTTCTGTTCTCTGAGGTATTTTCCAAATGCTATCACCTAAGAAAGATCTACTGGGTCTCTAATTGTGTTGCAGAATCCTTGATTTAAATATTTGTGCCACTGACACCCAAATGACTCAGAAAGCCCCTAAACTGTCTGGAACCCCCCCCCAGTGTCCCCACCCCCATCAACTGGGTTTGGTGTTCCAAAATCTAGTTGTAGCATTGAAAGGCAAAGCTAGGCTACCCAGAAGACAGCCTAAACTTTTCCTTACATCTAAAATAAAATGTTAACCCATTTGGGGTCTTTAAGCACGTGTCTTGACAGTCACACTATTGCAATAGCTCTCTGTAGTTTCCTGCCTGCGTCTCCCCAAAACCAACAGAGCCCACTTACAGGAAAAACAATAGCAATGTGTCTTTCCTCTTATTACCAGCCCTCATTCCTTCACAACATTGCCAAATGAGGGCATACTGGGCAGCAGGTAAGCTTTGGTGTGTAGTATCAGGCAGGGCTCCTTATTATTTCAGTCCATAATTGAACTGTTGATTCATAATTCAGATCTGCTTTAGAACTATTCTTGGATCTTCTTTGAAAAATTTATTTAATGGCTCCTAAGTGATACTCCAGCCTGATGTAAAACTTCAAAAGAGCTCAACCCAACTGATGATTGATGCCAGGGAAATAGTCTGGTTTTGAGTTTTAAGTTGCACCTCGTATCCAAGTGCACACACACACACACCCAACAATGGAAGGTCTGTACAAAAATCTCTGCCTTCATGGGTACCTGCATGTGTATTTAGAAGTGAATAAATCCTCAAAGACCGTGAAATATTCCAAAGGCCAAATTTTCTACCTTTCTTCAAAATCTGTCTTTCCTTTCTGCCATTGATTTTCCGTTACCAATGCTAGAGACACCTTTCACTGGTTTTCTTCCTTGCTCTTCTCATGCCACCAGATGATTTTTCCTTTGAAATGTTATTCACATGTACCCATCTTTTCCATTCTGTGGCACTGATAAATTCTCATCATTCCATGAATAAGCAATAGCCTCCTTTTGGGTCTGTCTCTACTACTAAGCTTGCAAATTTTTTCCAGTTAAAACCAGATTAATTTTTCTAATGACCTGTTTCACTTACTTGTCAAAAGCCTTTCATGGTGTCATACTGCCAAATGGATAAAGTTTAAACATTTTTCATTAGTACCAGAGATCTCATATTTTGTCCTAGATTTACTGAACAAATTTATTTTCTACACCCTCCAGACAGTCCCCTGAATACAGTATGTATTCCATCTCTCCCATGTTTGAATCACTCTTGGTTTACAAAAGATATGCAGGGAACTGTTAATTTCACCACAATAAGACTAATTCAGCTGATGCTCTTACAAATAGAATTACATATTTTAAATCTTTACCAAAAAAAAAAAAAAAGAAAGAAACTGGTCCTCTCTCCTATCTCCCTTTCCCTCCCCTCTCAAGAAATAAGATCCACCAGTTCTCCAAACTCGACTTAAGTATCTGCTCACTCTGGGCAAGTAGTGAGGTCAATCAGTTATTTGTCTTCCCATTTGGCACTATGTTTTGTGTGTGTGTTCACCCAAAGTGCTAGAGTGCTCTTGCAAAAGGACAACTTGCAAGGAATCCAAGTCCTTGCTCTCTATCCATTACGTGAAACCCAGTGATTAAACTCATGTTCTGAGACGTGGCAGCAACTGTCTTCATCTACCATCTTGAAAGTTCATCAACATATATTCTAAGTCAGTCTATCTTTGCAAATCGAAAGACTGCCCAGAAAATCATGAAGGTCAGACAGGAATGTCATCACAGAGCTGCATGCAACCCAGCCCACTGTGATCCTAGCCTTGGACCAGGACTTCAACAGTGAGTGGCTCATGCTAATCTGAGAATTGTACACCAGCTAAACTGGACTGCCTTCCTTCCAATAGTATGAACGACATACTCAAGTGTTACACAAAAAAGAACATAGGAAGACATCCCATCCCCTTGGCCCATGTGACCCACTGACTTCACCTGTAGGTACTAACCTACCTGCAGCCCTACCCTTTGGCCCTCTTGCAGTGTTCTCAATTTTTAAAAATTCCATTAAAAAAAGGAAACTGCATAGGCCCCAGGTTTCAAACAGCCAACTCATGCAATGAGCACAAGATCTGGTCCCACTGCCTGGGTGCCTCCCAAACAGATCAAGCCAATCAACTGTCTCATCCATTCAGAGGGCCTGATCCAGTGGGGACCCCTCAGCCATTGGTTCATAGTTCATGTGTTTCCATTCATTTGGCTATTTGTCCCTGTGCTTTATCCAACCTTGGTCTCAACAATTCTCGCTCATATAAACCCTCCTCATTCTCGTTAATTGGACTCCCAGAGATCCACCCGGGGCCTAGTCATGGATCTCTGCATCCAGATCCCTCAGTAGTTGGATGAGGTTTCTAGCACAACAATTAGGGTGTTTGGCCATCCCATCACCAGAGTAGGTCAGTTCAGGCTGTCTCTCGACCTCTGCCAGCAGTCTGTTGTGTGGGTATCTTTGTGGATTTCTGTGGGCCTCTCTAGCACTTTGCTTCTTCCTATTCTCATGTGGTCTTTATTTACCATGGTCTCCTATTCCTTGTTCTCCCTCTCTGTTGTTGATCCAGCTGGGATGAGTTGGCTGTTTGAAACCTGGGGCCTATGCAGGATTGTTTGGCTCGGCCTGGGAGGAGGGGACTAGACCTACCTGGACTGAGTCTACCAGGTTGACCTCAGTCTGTGGGGAAGGCTTTGCCCTGGAGGAGATGGGAATGGGGGGGGGGGGGTTGGGGGGAAGGTGAGGGGGACGGGAGGGGGGGAGAACAAGGGAATCCGTGGCTGATATGTAGAACTGAATTGTATTGCAAAATAAATTAATAAAAAAAAAAAAAAAAAGAAAAAAAAAAAAAAAAAAAAGGAAACTGTTTTAGAATCTTCTCATTTGAGTAACAATCTTAACTACAAAAATCCAGGAATCTTAACTGAGCACATGATGGTGTCCTGTCATCATTCTAAATTTTAAACAAATACTCTCGCTTTGGTATTTTATCTAGATCTAAGTAATCCAGATAAGATGTATCTTTCTCAAATAACAGAAGCACTGAAAACCTTAAATTGGCTTATTTTTCTTGGTTTAAATTATCATACTTGCTAGCTGCTCTAAACTATCAACGTTAAGTTGGTGGAGTGTACACTTATGCAGAAGACCTTGGATTACCAGCATGATGATAAGAAAACAGTGTGGCACACGCCTTGAATCCCAGCAGAGGCAGGCAGATCTCTGAGTTGGAGACCAGCCTGGTCTATAGAGCAAGTTCCAGGACAGCCAGGGCTACACAAAGAAACACTGTCTTGAAAAACAAAAACAACAAAAAAGAGGAAGAAATTATCTTTTCTAAGCATTTAAGTATTGTGATATGTTTTTAGGAAATTGAATTAGCATTGAGCCTTATAACCTTGGAAACATCACTGAAACAGTCCCTAAATTTGTTTTTGCATCTGTGGATTTTTAATTTATTTCATCATTATGGTGAATTAAATCATATAATCTTTAAAGGAATTGGGGATATATACTTCATTGATTTGCACATTCATTTTCTCACATTTAGTATGGGTGTGCATTTATATTCAATGATAACTGGACATTTTATCATAGATTACCTGACACTAAGGAGAAAATATCAGCTAAAGTGGCTGGCTAATGTTTAGATCTGATGAAGCATAGGGACTGGCCCCCTCTCCTTCTGTGTTATGTACCCTTTCTATTCCCATCCTGCTACAAGATACTGTTTAACCAAGATTTATGTGCATTGTTTATGTATGTGTTACATCTATGAAGCCTCATGTCCAGTCCTCATCATCATTAACTGACTTAGCTTTCAAACCTCTAGAAAATACAATATATCTCTTTTATTTTGCTTTCAATCAACTTGTATAGTTCTCATATATATGCAATTATAATCAGTATTTAATATCCACTTATCCATGCTAATTTTGCTTTTACTATACCCTGAAAACTTCAATAATGTGCCAGGCAATGGTAGCACATACCTTTAATCCCAGCATTAGAGAGGCAGATCTCTGTGAGTTCAAGCAAGATCCAGGATAGGCACCAAAACAACATAGAAACCTTGTCTCAAAAAAACAAAAAACTTCAATAATGTTTGATTATTTTGATGGGAATGCTAAGGAATAGAAAACTTGTTGAACTACAAAGCTCTCTTTGCACCACCATTTTCTATCAAAACGAATGCTGCTTACCTCACGGGACCTTCCTGTTGTATAAGCCAAGTAGCCTCTAACAACCTCATGAGACCTTCCCACAGCTAATGAGCCCTACTCTTGTGGTAGCAAGGCTGGACCTTTCCTCAGTTATCTTACCATCATTGTTTTGAAAGACCAAAAGGGAGACTTTTCTGTGCACCAATGCAATGGCAAATAAAACGGTCTTATGGCATTTCCCTTTTCTCAGGGGTGGGGAGACATTTGTGGGCTATGACAACAGAGTCTGTGTTTATTCCTTCTCGTTTTAATTTTTCTCACAGGTTAAAGACTTCATCAACTCTGAGCTCCTAGCACAATTATATTCTTCAGAGGACCAAAACACTCTGATGGAAGAGTCTGCTGAGCAGGCTCAGCGTCGGGATGAGATGCTCCGAATGTACCAAGCCTTGAAAGAAGCCCTTGTGATCATTGGTGACATCAACACGGCCACTGTGTCAACCCCAGCCCCACCTCCAGTAGATGACTCCTGGCTCCAACATTCCCGCAGGTAGGGAGGGAGCTCCACAGCACCTGAGCTCTGCTGAGCTTGTCCACTCTCCGTTTCTGAGGATGCTTTCCCAAGCCAATATGGATCCAAAAGCAAAAGGGAAAAGTTCAGGAGGGGTCAAAGTGCATCAACTCTCTTCAGGAAGAAGCTTCATGAATCCTGACAGTGAAACTTGATCGTCTGTCTTAGTTAGGGTTTCTATTGCTGTGAAGAGACACCATGACCACGGCAACTCTTATAAAGGAAAACATTTTACTGAGGTGGCTACTTACAGTTGAGAGGTTCAGTCCATTATGAACTCTGCGGGGAGCATGGCAGTGTGCAGGCAGACATGATGCTGGCTACATCTTGATCATAAGGCAACCGGAAATGGTTTGTCTGTCACACTGAGGGAAGCTGGAGCAAAAGAGACCTCAAAGTCCACCCCCACAGTGACACACTTCCTCCAACAAGGCCATACCACCTAATAGTGCCACTCCTTTTGGGGGCCATTTTCTTTCAAACTACCACACAGTCATTAAAAGAGTAAAATAATGTTGAGTTTCCCCAAATGGAAAGATAAGCTTAAAAGAAGGGAGAGTATAGGGTATGAGACTGTATATATGTGTGAATTCACATACCTATATGTTTAAAAGAAACACCAGCAACTGCTATTGATTGTCTCCAGAAAGTGAGGAAGGAGACCAAAATCTCAGCATTTATCCTTTTATGTACATGGACATCTTATAACACATATCTAAGTTATATAGCCAAAAATAAATTAATTTTAAAAAGCAACCAGGAAATTACAAAACTGTTTTTAAAAAGATTAATTAAAAATGAAGGAAGAGTGCATAAATTAAAACTTTGTCTCTTTTCTCAGGTCACCTCCTCCAAGCCCCACCACCCAAAGGCGGCCAACTCTAAGTGCTCCCCTCACGAGGCCCACATCTGGCCGTGGACCAGCCCCTGCCATTCCCTCTCCAGGTCCCCATTCTGGGGCTCCCCCAGTCCCATTCCGCCCTGGCCCATTACCTCCTTTTCCCAACAGCAGTGACTCCTTCGGAACCCCTCCGCAAGTTCCTTCCAGGCCCACGAGGGCACCCCCCAGTGTTCCAAGGTAAGCAAGCTAAGCTGTGCTGCAGAAGCTCCCCAAGGTCCTCCTTGGTTCTTTTCTCGGTGTAACAGACAACATTTGGAAAAAACAAAAAACTTTGAAAACATCTTACTCTACAGGTTTGCGATTTTCATACTGGTGGTCGGGGCAGTGAGCACAAGACAAAATTATGGTGCCTAAGCCTGTTAAAATACCCTGTGTGATCATCGCATCCTCTCATTTACCAACTGGCACAGATTCGAATGTCTCATTTTTGAGACCAAAGCAAATGGGACCCAGTAAATGGCATTTTACTAGCCGGGTAGTAGAGCCTGACCCAGGGCTTTGAAAGAAACAGCTGTGACTGGGTAGTGGCAAGCTGTGTGTAGGTCATGAGGGGTGCATGGGCTAAGATCTTGCCTTCTCCATTACCCAAAGAAATCTAGAAAACCGTTGACTGAAGGAACTTTATCCATCTGCCCTCTGCACTGTGACTCCAATATCACAAACTTTAATGTAAACTAAGTATAGTCTAGCCAATTAATCTGCAATTGTTTTAAAATCTGCAGAGATTGTAATGTAGACCTGAGGATTATGTATCAGATAGACTGCTGTGCAATGGGATCACTGTGACAATTCTAAGCAGATTTTCTGGTCTAGTTATCAAACAACATAAACTAATCAGAAATGGAACCTGAAGCATACTGAGTTAAAGCTATATTCTTCCCTTCATCTATACAGTTCTTTCTGACACTGTTAAAGGATATAAGGTATTATGGAGTTTTACCCCACAAAATCAGAGAATGTAAAGACAAAATTATCCCATGCATGAAGTTAATTCAGAGAGTTAGAATATTCACATGCCCCATTAAGCAAAGCCTGACTACATCTGTCACACATAGTACTGTCTACCACCCATAATGCACCTTTATGACTGTGGTGCTTGGATTTTGGTCCTTGAGGTTTTAGGGGTGATGGACAGAGGAAAGAGAACCCCAAACTGGTAGACAAAGAGTATGCAAGAAAAACTTGGCTTTGAAGTCATAAGATCTGGGTGACTCATTCACCTCCAAGATATAAGTTCCTTACCTAGGAAACAAAGAAAATGGTAGTATTGTTCAGATCTTGAGATGAGACAATGCTGTTAGACTTCTGATTTATCTGAAACTGAGCTAAATTTCTAGTAATATCTATTTTGCTCTTAATATAAGTGTTGTCCTAAAAGCTTCACATATACCCTTTTTATCTAAGGTTCATGAAACCAATAAAATAGACTATTATTTACATTTTACAGATAGACAATAAGGTAAAATAGCTTGCCCAGTGCCACTCCACCAGGTTCTAAGCCCCAGCAGTCTGACTTGAGAGCCCAGGTTCAACCACCACAGGAGGGGCTGGCACCAGGGGCCCTCAGGGTCTGACATTTCTGTTATGGCGGCTCTCCTGTGCGTTGAGGATGATTAACAGCATCCCTGGCCTCCAGTCACTAGCTGTCAGTTGTATCCTCCTCCAAGTTGTGACCACTGAAAATACAGACAGGCTGCTGTCCCTCAGGGAAGTAAAGCCCTACTCTACTTGTCAACCACTGCTCCGCAGTGCTCAGAAGAATTTCCTTTCCACATCAAAAACGTGCATTTCAACATTGAATGTTGCTACAAGCAAGATCAAGTTTATTGTTTTAGAAAACCTCAAATTGACTGGGAAAGTGTCTGCTGCTGTGCCAGGATGGTATGGGGGCTGTGAGGAAAAACAGGGGTGGTGGGGTGGGGGAGTGGGAAGGCAGAGTCCTGAGGGAGCCTGGAACTCTGCTGTTTTGTCTGTTTTGCTGTGAGAAGGAGCCAGAGGGACCTGTGGCGGTACCTCACTCAAGAATGAGTGTGCAAGTCTTGCCTGCCTGCTTGACGGCTTTTCTTCTTGGTTTCCAATAAGCTAGCTCGCCAGTGCTCTTCAGAAACATCAGCTTCGGATGCTAAACTGATCTGTTAAACAGGGTGGAGTTAGCTTTGGTATTTTTGAGCTTGCACGCAGGCAGAAGGGTGGGAGTCCCTAAGTCATTCTGAATTGCCAGGAAGAGGGAGCCACCAGGTTTAAGGAGACCTCGCTCATCGGGGAATTTGTAGGACAACAGTTGAGCTATTCAAAATTTTTAGAATGCTCTCAAGTTAAAGCCAGACTTAACTTGAGCTGGCTTTGTGTACCACCCCAAATTTAAAACAGAAATGGGGAGTTTGAATTGAAAGGGAGAAAGCTGATTGTTTTGTGCTGAGCCCTCAAGATTGAGGGCCAGCAAAGCAGGCTGGGAGGGAATCCCTGTGGTGGGAGTCACCTGAGCAGAGCTGGAGGCCGGTCAGGGTCCCGACGCCTATTAAAGTCTTGCTTTAGATGGAAGATTCTGAACACCCGTCTGTTTTTAATAAAAGCCAGAGCAGGAATCCTACCAAATGCAAGCCAGAAATGGGGTTTAAGATTTCAAAAAAAGAAAGAAAGAAAAGAAAGAGAAAGGAAAACAGAAAGGAAGGGAGAAAATGAAGAACGCTCTTATTAAAACACCTTGCACTAGTGTTTATATATTCTCTTCCTTCTGTAATTTGCTTCTATTTTCTCTTAAAAAAAAAAATCGAGATGCCCCCTATCCATCATCTCCAGGAAAAAAATAAAATAAAAAGTGCTTTTCAAGGAGAAAATCTGGTTCCACCCATCCTCAAAGTTCTTTGCCTTTCTTAAGGGACCTTCCTCTTTTTTAAACCTGAAACCAGAAACTCACAACACAACAACACAGCACAAAAGGTAACCCTCTGGGCTCCCTGCTGGCCTTTAATATTACAAAGGCAATAACTGAACTTCTAGAGGCAAAAGATTCAGCCGCCCTAGCTTGTGCCTGGGCAGTTTTCCTCCTGATATTTTGAATGAATTGGCAACTGGTGATGGTGACTTTTATTTTCACCCTATCCCAAGGTCATCCAAAGCCTTTGATGGCTCAGGAATCTTGAATCCACTGTCTTTGTACCCAGCATCTTTCCTGTATATTTCCATTTCAATATAAAGGAAGAGGCGGAGGGCAAGGTGGTGGAGTCATTTTTGGCTCAGCTTCTCGAGCTGTTCTGGTTTCTGTGTTTGGAGCCTTTTGGTGGGAGAGCAGGAAATACTGCAAACGGCATGCCTGCTTTAATTAATTCCACCTGAACTGGGGAGCATCTCAGAGAGACCCACTAGCACGGATGCTTCTGTCATTAGTAAGCTGAGTGTACACAAATCTTCAGGACATTTTTCTAGGGCTTGACTCTCTCCATTCAAGTTCTCTGATGGGACAAAACCCTGTTTGAAAATCCACACCAGCCACGGCTTTGTTTCGAAGGCTGGTCTCAAGCAGACAGCACCAGCTCTTTAGAGCACCAGTTCTTTTAATTGCAGGTCCCAATCATCATCATCAGACACCAACTCCAGAGTTAGCATAGCTATTTCCAGTTACTGCTTCTTAAAATTAGTTAATTGGAAATTACAGCCTTTGACATTAACAGGATAAATTAGCTGAATCCGAGTGTGCGTTTCCTGGCACCAGCTAACTCTGGCACCATTTCACTCATTTGTCATCTCCCCTTCCCTTGGAGAAAGCTGTTTTGCAAGAGTCAAAAGGGATAAGGGTGAGAGGAAGGGTCTCCAGTCAAGGAAGAACAGACTTCATTTACCTCATCACTCAATCTTCCCCTTTAGAAAAGTTGAACTAGAGACATACTTTCTTTAACCCACCATCATTCACCATCTCTGATGGTTTCTTTTGAAAAATGGCCAAGCCTGGTCCAGTTCCATTTGGTTTTGACTTCAGCTCACCTAGGTGACGGAAATCCAGACATGGTCCTTTGTGAGTCCCACGACAAAGACAAAGCCCCCACAGTATGTGGGCAACTCCAGGGCAGCATCAAGATTTGCCCAGAGTTTGTCACTGATGTCTTCTATGGTTTCCTTGACTTAAGATAGCACACAGAGAAGCCCCACATTTCAGCAGCCTTAGGACTAAATCAGTTATGTAGAAAGATGTATAAACTCCTTTCCAAAGACATGACAGATACCCTCATATTACAAAAGTTAAGGCCAATTGGTTTTCATCATAATGTAGTTTTAAATGTTTGATCTCTATGGTCTGCATTGTCTAACCCTAATACCAATTCTTTCATTCATTATATTTGTTGTTATACATAACAGTTAATACAACATCCCTTTTATTTCGGGTTTTTGTGAGCCAGTCCCCTACTTTTCAAGCCAGGACAAACCACAAACCCATCATTCTTATATCTTTGCCTCTCCCACATCAAGGTTTGGTACCATGAAGGAGGAAGCTGCCGAGCCTTGAAGTCGTGGGGCTCAGCGTACATGGAAATTAAGCAACCCGTGTGACTAACCTGGTGTCATTCCCCTGCGGTCACACATGGAAACTTCCTGACTTACCCCCTCTTCTCCTGAACAGCCCTCTAAAACTGATGTTTTTAGCAGCCAAGTGTCATTTAGACAAAGGATGAAATCACCTTGTGATTTGTGATGTCAGCTGTGAGTTTTCTGTTCTCCCCACTAGCCTTCCTCAAAGAAAAAATAAAAACTATAATCAGATATTCTGATTTGTCAGGGAGCTGGGGTTTTTTTTCTTTTTAGCAACTAGATTTAAAAGTTTAAAAAATCCACATTATTCAAAAATATAACTGCTAAGAGCAGAACTTTGAGTTGTTATAACAAATTCTTATTTTCAAGGCATTTTGTGAGGCAAACATATAAAAAATTTGGTACTGAAGCCTCCAAATGTAATTAATAATTTGCTGCAGGTTCAACATGAATTGTCATGATGAGCTCATGGTACTTTAATGAAGCTAAAATTTCACTGTTCACTTTAAGAAAACATCCACTTTTATTTAAGGCCCTCTGTTATATACACCGCCAAAAGCTCATTCTGTTTACATGATGATTCTTATTCCAGTGTACTGTTTCAATTCTTATGGCGACATCCTGTTTTGCTGTAATGAAGCAATGGTTAATGT